CTCCATAGATCTACCTGAAGACCACCTGCTTGATCTCTTTCTCTCCCCTCGACGGACAACTTAGCCCCGGAAGTCCGTGAGTCCCCTCTCCCTTTCCCCCTCTTCCTACTTTCTCCTTCCTTCTCTCGCTCTCTCCCTAATCCCTCCTCCACTCATCGTCATTCGTTATCCCCCCCCCCCCGCTTTCCCATCCTATTCTTTCTCCCTTCCTCCCTCCCTCGTCTCCTTCCACTCGCCTTCTCTCTCTTCTCTCTCTTTTCCCCCTCTTCTCTCCCCTATCGCGTGCCCATATCCGCATCGATTTTGCTATCCGCTCTGCCCAACGCCCACGCAAAGTGCCATTTCATTCCTCCCCTCCCCCTCACCTTCCCCTCTTCCTCCCCTTCCCTCCATTCACCATCCCCCCACCTCCTCCCCTCCTTCCCTTCCCCATTTTTCACCTTCCTTTCCCCTCCCCTTCCTCTAGCCTTAACCCTCCCCTCTTCCCTCTAACCTTAACTCCCTCCCTCCTTCCTTCTAGCCTTAACCCCCTCCCTCCTTCTCCCCCCCCCTTCCCCCTCCCCTCCCGTGTAGTGTTTGGAGACATGAACATCAAATATTAAACCCAAAGCTCGTGAATGGGGGTCGATCAAGCCACCTGCAGGGCAGCAACACGCACCGCTTAATACACACGAGCCAGTCTATCAGGTCTATCGGGCAATTATTCGGGCCAGGCCTGTTGGGAAGAGAAGCTAACACAAAAAAAAAATCGACAAAGAAAATTCGAAAATCCTTTAAAGAAAAGAAAAGAAAAAACAATAAAACTAATTGAAAATCAGGTGAACTCACGACCATTGGACGGGATGTAGCACATTCAAAAACTACACTTGACAACTGTATAGAAGTAGGAGGAAGAGAAAGGGCGAGGAAGGGAGGGAGGGAGGGAGAGAAAGGGGGAGGAAGGGAGGAAGGAGGAAGGAGAGGGAGGGAGGAGGGAGGAGGGGGAGAGGGAAAGGAAAGGAAGAGAGGAGAGGAGGAAAGGAGAGGGAGGGAAGATAGGAGAGGGAGGGAGGAGAGAGAGGGAAGGAGAGAGAGAGAGAAGAGAGAGAGAGAGAGAGAGAGAGAGAGAGAGAGAGAGAGAGAGAGAGAGAGAGAGAGAGAAGAAGAGAGAGAGAGAGAGGGGGGGGAGAAAGAAAGAGAGAGAGGAGAAAGAAAGAGAGCAGACAGAAACAAAGGCAGAGAAAGAGAAAAAGAGAAAGAGAGACTCAGGCAGTCAGTCCCAGACGCAGGCCCGACGCAACACAAGCGAGCGGTGTTTGAACAAATGAATAATTCACGCAGAACAAACAGCTGGTGCTTGGCGAAACTCGCACAGCAGCGAGGGGTGGAGATCGGAACAAGCAGGAGAGAGAGATGAGAAAAAAAAGGAGGAGGGAGGGGAAAAGGAGAGGGGAGAGGGAGGGAGAGAGGACACAGGGGGGACAGGGTGACACACGCTGCGGCGAGAGGGGGGACGAGGGGAACACGAGAGCCGGACAGGTAGAAAGGAAAGGAGGAGGGAGGGAGAGGAGTGAAGACGAAGAAGAGAGGGAGCAAAAGGCCAAAAGGCAAGAGAGGTGAGAGGGGAGGGGTGTCAAAGCTAAAGCACGCAAGCAAGCACTGAAAGCGCCCCCACGCGCACCCTCCCTCCCCTTCCCTTACAAAACAACAAGCACGCGCAAACATTTTCGTGTGTGTCCCCGCAGGCATGTCACACACACGCGCACCGCAATCCATTCACAGAGACACAGGAGAGCACACACACCTTAATACCAGGAGGAGTCATTCCTTAACCGGCTGCCGCATTTCCTTTTTCTCTTTCTCTCTCACTGTTTATTTTCTGCCGCCCCCTCTTCTCTTTCTTCTTTCATGTTTTCTTGTCTCTGTTTACATTTTCCTCCTTCTCTCCCCGTCCTTTCTTCTGGTCTCATTATCTCTCTCTCTCTCTCTCTCTCTCTCTCTCTAGGTAGACTTCCCTCTTCCTTGCACAAACAATCATTCTCTTATTTTCACTTTTACGTCGTCCTGCTCTATCCATCTCTTCTAATTCTATCTTCCTCCCCTTGCTCTCTCTTCCCTCTTCCTTCTTCTCCCTTTCTCTCTTCACTCCCTCCCCTCACCCCTCAAACTTCCCTTCCCTTCTCACCATC